TCTGAACTCATTCACAGGAAGAAATACCTTTTCCATGTTGACCTTGTCAGGGCTTATAAATTTCAATCAGATCATCCTTCAGTCTTCTAAACTCCAATGAAATCAAGCGCAGTCTGTCCAAACTCCCCTGATAAGACAACACAGTCATCCCTGGAATCAATCAAGTAAAATAAAGTCGCCATTATTTACCAGACCATAGGGCTGCTCTCATTAGAGAGAAGCAACTGTTGAGGGCTCACCATGCCTAGGCAGTCGGAGAGGTTCAGAAGCCCTTCATTGTAAGCTCAGCCACTGTGGGAATTGAACGCCCACTGTTGGCATCACTCTGTATCACAAACCAACCATCCAAGCTAAACCACCGACACAATGAGCTCCACTTTTACATAATAACCTTTTATGTGGCACCTGGTCATATGGCTTCTGGTTCATTTCTGTTATCATCCTTGTAAATATTTTCTACACCACTTCCATTATCTCTATGTCCTTGACAACATATATTAACCAGAACAACATGCAGTGCATCAAATTCCAATGCAGTTTAGTCAAACTTTATTTTCTAATTTTTTTAATGGTCTGATAAGCTCTTCTGTAATCACTAGTGATTAGAGTATTTGTACTTTAAGATTTCTTCGTTCCTCTAGCCTATGCAGACTCACACCTCCCAAAAAAGAGGTGAGTTCCTTATCATTCTTACCAATTGTGCTAGCTCACATTTATTGATGTGGAAATTCATTTGCCAATTATTTGCCCATTCCACAAGTCTGCTAATAACCTCTTGTAATTTGCTGCAGTCCTTTTCAGTATTGGTTAACCCCATAAATCCACAAATTTAGAAATTGGGGTTTTGAATCCAAGTCAAAACTGTGAAGTTAAAACCCCACTTCCCAACATTTGTCACCCAAAATAACTACTTTTTACTCACAATCTCTGCATTCAGTCTTGAAGCAAATTAGTGATCTGCTCGATTATTTGTCTCTTGAATCCACATTCTCTGACTTTGTTCATTAGTCTACTATGTGGCACTTAGTTGAATGCTTCCACTGCATTACCATAGTCTACTGTTTTCTGCTACCTCCTCAAAAAATTCAAGAAGGTTGGTCAAGCAAAATTTCCAGTTTTGAAATCCATACTGTATTTATTATTATATATTTATTTTGATTTATTCGCTTCTTTAGTACAATACCATTATTTTATGAAGTAAAGTCTATACATTCCCAATCATGTTCCCTCCCTCTCCTGAAATATAGGAAATATCAGATAACAGTATCTATCCAGCCATTTTGCCTTTTTCTAATGAATTATTAAATAAAAACAGTAACGTCTCTGCTACCTATTCCCCAGATTCTTTGCAATTACACAGATGTTATCTATTCAAACCAGATGTTTTATCTTGTTTTGTTTGTTCAGCTTGTTCAATGAATCTGGCTTTTATTTTAAGTAACTTATCTCATTACTCACCTCACATTCAAAGGCACGTCTACTTGATCCATCCCCTGGTAAATCCTGACACAAAATAATTATTTAGTTGTTCTGCCCTCTCTCTGTTGTTACCTGTTATATCCAGTTTATGCCATAATGGTCCTACTCCCATCACAACCTTCCCTTTTATTCATGTACCTGTAATAATAAAATATTTTACTATTTTCTTTACATTCCTCGATAATTTAACTTTGTCATTCCTCTTTATCTGCTCATTTTTTTGCTTCTCTCTTAATCCATCCTTATTCTCTTTTATCATGAACTCCTTTGTTCTCTCTGTACTTTGTTCTTCCCTTATCCCCAATTGTTCCCTTACGCCTTTACTCATTCATGGAGATTCATTAGCGCTCAATTTGTTCTTTCTTTTTAGTGGAAAATATTTTCTGTTGAACACATTAGAACATAGGACATTGTTTAAATGATTGCCTTTGTATTTCTATAGCATTGTTTTACTGGTAATTTTGCTCATTTTACTTTCCCAAGTCTATTCTAGGCTTCTCAAAGGCAGATTTTCTCCAATCTATTAACCTAGTTTTCATCACACTTAATTGAGTTTCAGCATTATGGAGTATCATTCTTACAGAATAGCTTTTCAAAATTACGAGATTTTAATTCTATTTTTTCTTTCATCTGAAGAAGATATTTTAGTCATATTTCAACATTGATCTTAATCCTGTTTTCTTTTGTATAAATGATTATAAAATGAATTATAATCCATGCTTTTTACTTTACAGCATACTGTCTGTGAGAATTCTTCAATCAGATTGGTTGATCAGCTTGATTGATGGCTTTGTTGTTATCACATATCATAGATCCCCTGTAGATGGCACCAGATTCAAAGCTACAATGGGATCAGGGAAACTGGCATTCCTAAACGTGCTACATTTTTGGAGGTAGAAATAACTGAGGCCAGTAGTTACCTTCTAACCACAATACCCAAGCCATTACTCCCAGTGTGATCCAAGTAACTGGAATATCTGTGGTGCTCAGCTTTCTGTAGGGTTCATCCATTTCCGTTCAATCCTTAAACCATTCCCTTTGTAGCTCCTGACTTTACCATTCCTAGATGGTAAGCGTAATGATTCTAATGAGGTCAGCCAGGTGGACCTCATAGAATATGAGTTCCCTGATTTGTGTTGTTAATCTGGTCTAATCAGAGATCTCTCATTGACAGATATAAACAGGAATGTCAGAGGTTCTGTTTTCTCAGAGAGCTGGCTCTGCGGAAGCTGGATCTCCATGTGTAAACAAAGTGTGGCTTGGTGATGGGATACCAGCCTATTTCAGTAAGGCTTGTGATTAGCTTGCAGCTGGAACTATCTATGCTTGTAAAAGATCTACTCATCCTTTTAACTGTGCAACTTTTCTCTGCTGTTTTGCCATTATTTAATTGTAGGAAATTAATGCAAATAATGTAATTTTAAATATGAAATAACAAGTAACAAATTATGCTTCTACTGAAATAAGTAACTAATTGATAACATATACCAAAGATCATGAACTCTCAAAATGATTTTAAGAACTAGCAGCAAAACTCAAAGTTAATAGTCAATAATGCTTACGCTGCAATTTATCATTTTTAATATCAAGTAGAAATCTGTTCCCTTTAGGTCTCAGTGAAAATGCTGTCAGACACATTTGAGGTAGGCACTCCTTGTCCTGTTTCCTGACCTCTACCTGTACAGGATATCACAAAATTAACAACTGCCAACCTACAATATTTGGTACATTAATCTTAATAGCCACAAAGTTATGGAGTGAGGCTATATAATTTTGCAAATGCACTCAGTGTAAACTTGACTGTTGAAACAGTACGACCATTGTGATTATTTATACGTGCTTGCCTCAATGTGGCTTGTTCCAAAAATTGTATAAATAGAAACCTAGTTTGATGCTATTGAACAAGATTACCAACATTATCTCGGTTTTTTGGCCATGCATCAGCAGCTCCTCTACTGGGAGTACATCACTAACATCATTTCCATGTACATAGTTCTTGAAGTAAACCAAATTCCCACAGCAAAATTCTACTCTAACTAATAACCAGACGTTATTCCACACATTGTTTTCCCTATCCAAGCATTGCTAACCAGCTCTGAATAGAACAGCACCCCAATCCAAACAAACATACAGCTACTCATCAAGTGTCGTTAAAGACTGCTAGAAACATAACACATAGATTGATGGATAACCTCTCCTCAAATTAGCTCAGTAAAATAATGAAACAGGACAGCTTCTGACCATCTAGTTGAATGTTAGCCTGTGGCTATCACTAACAGAAGAATAACAATGACATATTTCACTCATTTCATTTTGAGTACTGACCAGATTGACCAAATGGCATTTCACAGTCCTGTTCATTTTGATATCACAAATGAATCACAAAGGCAAGAACCTTATAATCAAAAATAACTGTTTCTAGATACTCTACATGGCCTATCCTGGTTACCTGAGGAGGCTGAACTTAATACTTTGTTTTTCCACTTTCTATTTTATTCGAATGATACTTCACTGACATAATTCAAAATCTTTGCTTCTATGTCATGTACATTTCATGTAAATGTAAATTCTGACTGAGATTTTGAAAGAAGAAAATAAGTGATTATTATTCTGTGCATCAAAATAGGAAATACTAAAAATAGATGCAGAAGTTGAATGCTAACATGCCATAGAAATATAAGTTCAGCTCTAATAAATATTATTTTAACCTTCTGCTATTTCATCAAATTCCTAAAACACCTTTAATTTAAGGGAACATTATAATGCAAGGCAAACATCATAGCAGTGGCATCACGCTAACAGGAGCAAATATTAACATTCACTGTTTCTTGTGATCTCTGTGACAGATGACTCAAACATTGACCTATTCTTCTCATTAATGTCAGATAACATTTAAGATACTTATACTGACTGGCAGATGTAAAGGAATGCCAACTGTATTTTCATTTGTTTCAGAATATAAGACAACAGACCAAAGGCAACTGGTGATTTAGAACATATATTTTTGTCAGTTAAGCAATGCATAAAATTCATGAAGCTTACCAGGCAACTTGAGTACATTTACCAGCTGTCAGGTTAACTAGCTAATTCTGCATTGAAATGCTGAGAGGAAAAACTAGTTTTTTGATGATCAAATATGCTATGATCCAGACATGTGTGAAAGGATGGTTCAATAGTGAGTTTACCAACTCAGCCGTGGTCTGTGAGGTGCTAGGTAAAAGCCAGGTACCTTCCCACAATATTTACACATCAGCCGTTACTGGAAATGACTTAAAGGCACGTCATCTGTCAACACTCTTATACAATTACATGGAAGGATCCAATAAAGGAAAAGCACATACAAATAGCAGTCCAGAGAAAAGTGTTAAAAAATGTTATCATGTAAGAATAAATATCTACAATAACATAAATAGTGGAATCAGATTGGTCCTGACATAATCAACCTTTACATGGCACACATTTAATTTAATAGTTTAAACATTCCTGTTTTGCTAATTTGTGAATATTGTCTGGTACCATACCTGGTGAGGCTGAGAACCTGACCACCTGCTGTAAGATGGAGCACCGGAAGTCTTGGTGGTTGATGCTCTCTGTAATTAAATAAAATTCAACTTAATAAAGGCAGAGTGAAACCTAGAATACAACTGTGAAATAATTTTAATTCCATATTTATGATGACTCAGCATCTTGACAAATACCCCAGTGCTGTTCTTTCGAACACTGAGTAAATCAAATTTTTAATAAAGCAAAATTGCCTGGAGATTGCTTTGCAACTGTTGTGACATGTTGTATCTTGTCTTTTGTGCTTGTCTACCTTTCTAATGCATTATTCCTTAAGCCTTGCAGCTTCAATCTACAATGCTACACAATTTCATCCAAAAACTGCATTTCATTTGTTTGGATAAAGTACAACGAACAATAAAATCGCATTACAGTTGTATATTGCCCAACAAATATACTCATAACATTAACAGAAACTGCAAAATATCGTGGATTCTGGCAACGTGCAAAACAAACAGAAAATTCAAGAAATTCTCACCAAGTCAGACAGCATCTATGAAGAGAAATAAAGTGAATGTTTCAGGTTGGCTGAACTGGAACATGGTATAAATGAGGCAAGGAAGGGAGAGAGAGAAAGAAGAAAATTGAACAGAAGGCAACTGAGTGAATTAATTGATAAATGGCACAAGACCAAAGGGGTAGTAATGAAATGAAAAGAAAGCTAAAACAGAACAGTTATACCTGATCACAACAGAATCATAACAGCATTTACTGTCTGAATAAAATAGGAGGAGCAATTATGAGCTGAAATTGTTGAAATGTTGAGTCGGAAAGGCCAACAAGTATCATATTGAAAGAAAAGATAACGTTCTTGGAATGGACATAACGCTGCTTTGGTCAATTGATTGATTTATTGTCGCATGTACCAGAGTACAGTGAAAAGCATTGTTTACGAGCAGTACAGGCAGATCAAAGTAAGCAAAGATGTACAGATCAAAGGTTGTACAAAATACTCAGACCGAGGCATACAGGTTACAATGCACAGGGTGTGCGCTAGGTGAGATCAACGTTAGCAAGATCAGCACTATTTGAGGCTACAGAGTCCATTCATCAGTCTAATAACGGCCAGGAAGAAGCTGTCCTGAATCTGCTGGTGCATGTGTTCAAGCTTCTGTATCTTCTGCCTGACGGAAGAGTTTGTAGAAGATCATTACTGGGTTGGGATGGGTCTCTGGTGATGTTGGCAGCCTTTCTGAGGCAGTGAGCCTTGTAATTGGAGTCCATTGATGGGAGGTTGGCTTCTGTGATGGTCTGGGCTGTGCACACAACCTTTTGTAGTTTCTTACGGTCTTGGGCAGAGCAGTTGCCCTACCAGGCCATTATGCACCCGAACTATACGCTTTCAATGATGCATCTGTAGAAGATGGTGAGGGGCCTTATGGACATGCCGAATTTCCTGAGCAGCCTGAGGAAGAAGAGGCATTGTTGTACCTTCTTGACCATTGCATCTATGTGGGAAGTCCAGGACAGATTGTCAGTTATCGTCACTCCGAGGAACTTGATACTCTCCACTCTCTCAACCTCAGTTCCGTTGATGTAGATGGCGGCGTGTTTTCCTACTTTCTTTCCAAAGTCAGTGGTCAGTTCTTTAGTTTTGCTGACATTGAGAGAGAGATTGTTCTCATCGCACCATGTCACCAAACCTCTATCTCCCTTCTGTATTTTGACACGTCGCTGTTAGATAGCCATCCTGCTACGGTAGTGTCATCAGTGAACTTGCAGGTGGCATTCTTTCAGAACAACACAGGAGGCTAAAGACAGAAAGATTAAAAAGGGAGTGTGGCATGAATTAAAATGGCTAATGTCTGTAAGCTTGGGTTATATTTGCAGAGTGAATGGTAATCACCAATTTGTGCTTAGTCTCTCCAACATAAAGGACATAACATCATATACACGCAAAAGTTAAGAGCAAGAATCAACCAATTGGCCCTATCATTCAATAAGACCATGGCAGATCTCATTGTGTCCTCAACTCCATTTTCCTTGTTAATTAAGAATCCACCTCTGCCCTAAAAATACTCAATGATCTGATTCTACCACCCCCTGGGAAACAGAGTTCCAAACACTCATAGCCCTATGAGAGAAAACATTTCTTCTTACTTCCATCTTAAATTGAAATCATAGAATCCTTACAGTGTGAAAGCTGGCCATTCAGCCCACACTGCCTCTCCGAAGTGCATCCCACCCAGTCCCAACCCCCTACCCTATCCCTGCATTTCCCATGGCTAATTCAGCTAGCCAGCACTTTCCTGGACACTATGGGTAATTTAGCACAGCCAATCCACCTACCCTGTCCATCTTTGGACTGTGGGTGGAAACCAGAACACCTGGAGGAAACCCACGCAGACACGGGGAGAATATGCAAACTTCACACAGTCACCCAAGGCTGGAATCGAACCCAGCTCCCTGGCACAGTGAGGCAGCAGTGCCAACTACTGAGCTGCCCAAATACAGAAATAAATCACTTTATTTCTGAACTGCATCCCCTCGTCCTAGACTCACCTACGAGTGGAAGATCCTTAAACAGCCAACCTGTCAAGTTCCCTCAGAATCTGATATACTTCAATAAGATCACCCTTCATTCCTACTGACCCCAATGGATACAGGCTCAGCCTGTTCAACCTTTAATCTTAAGAGATACTGCTTTTAGCCCAGGTGTAAGTCAACTGAAACTTCTCTGAACTGCGTCAAATAGAATTATATCCTTTATTAAATTAGGAGGTCATGGATATACACTGTAATTCAGTGGTCTCACCAATGGTCCAAACAAAATACCCGTACTATTTTATTTGATTTCAATTTTGTCTAACTATAGTCCAGAGCAATGGTCAGTTTTGTGGGACCATCACATGCGGTCAAAAAATCACGTGTCATCAGTCAGGGAGCTGGAAAGACAATGGTCAGGGATGTGGTTAGTCAGCTCTGGGGCTTTTCTTCAAATTTGACTGGAGATCTGAGGCGAATACAGTCCTGGGCATCCATACATTGTTCAGTGAGGAGGGTGCTGTAGGGGCAAAGGAGTTCTTGTTGTCAAATGAGAATGGGTAGTAAAGGCTGGGGCGAGAAAGCAGAAGCGCATGTGGAGGTAGGGGCAGGGACTGTGACCCGGGGGGAGGTGATGGTCAAGGTAGACAGTAGTATTTGGAACAGCATCAAAAGTCAGTGGTAGGGTACAGAGGGAGGGGCATGTGGCAGTGACCACCACTGCAGCATCCATGCTGAAGCATAGTGCACCATGGTTGGCATCAGTAAGGTATAATTTCAGGTCTCAGAGGCAAGGAGGAAAGCTGAAGGCAAAGTTCTATGCACTTGCATGAATGGGGTGGAAACGGCTTATCAGGGTAGTGCAAGGTATAAAGGGAGTCTGCTGCTTCACTGTAAGCTGTGCTCCCCACCACCCCCACCCCCCCACCCCCTTCACTTGCCAATCTCTAGGTGTGAAGTGTCACTACAGAACAGACTCTGCGTGGGCACAGTCAGTGTCAATTTGATGGGCAAAAGCACAGGATCCACGTCTGCTGGACACCAGGGCATTGAAGGGGCAAATACATGAAGCATGTCCTTGCAAACTCCAGCTGCATTTAGTTTGCAAACAAGTCATCATCTATTTGCTTTGCATGCAAAGTGAAGGCGTTTAGGATTCAAGTATTGTTCAAAGACAATTTAGACCGTTACATGGGTTCTTATAAATTGAACATTGGTGTCTCAATTTTGCAGAAGTTAGTGGTAATGACTTAGAAAGAGGAGAATGCTGGCCAAAAACGACCTATTACTTGTGACACCTGCAAGGATGCTGCCATGAATTACAATCGAGTCGACTGAATACATTGATATGTTTTATGGTTGGTGTAGGTCTGGGAATGGGAAGGGGGTTGGAGTGCAGCGGGCGCTTCCTTTTGATGTAAAGTGCTGGTAAGAGCAGGCAATGAAGCAATGTACTGGATATTGAGGAACTAGGGGAATGGGAGCAGTCTTCTGTGGAGGAGGAGGATAAGGATAATGGGAAGGAGAAAGCTCTCCTTGTCTACAACAGAGCTCAGCTGCATCAGGTGCTACAAGCCAGACAGGAGCTGTCTGACACCCGTTCCAGTCAATGAGAGCCTAGCACAGAAAAGTACCATGTACAATAATCAGTGGTCTCATACCAGCATTTGGTTTGCTTTGCTGGGGGCAAACTGCAGCCTCTATTCCTTTTGCTTGTGTTTGTATTTGCTCACTGTAAATGAAAAATGATGTTTGGAATTGTCCATTGCCTGTATTCCCCTATTAGATAATGTCAGGATATGGGTCTCTAGTGGCTATAGAGAACGGAGAATGAGGTGGTTCAGAGAGAGGGTTTGGACAGGATGCAACTAAGGTCAGATACACTATGTGGCCTGGTGGTTGAAAAGCAATTAGGGTGAGCATGGGCAAGGGAGTGCCGGCTATGCTAGCTATGCTAGCTATGTGCTGTGAACCAAATGGCTTCATGGCTGCTGTAACATTACTTTGCTGGTGAACAACAAATTTCTGATACTTGACCAAGTGCAAGTGGCCTTTTAAAGATGTATGAGCCAGGGATGCTTGTTTTTTGGTACATATCCTGTGAATGGTGAGTTGTTGGATTTAGAATCATATGACAGAGGCACCATAGGGACAGGGAAGGTAGCTAATGAGGTGAGTTTGCTAAGATATGGTGAGGATGTTGCTCAACCTGAAGGAGAAAAACCCCTTTGTGAAACTGGATAAAATTGACACTAGCCAAAAAAAAATGTAATCTCCTCCTCACAACTTACCTTCGTACCTATATTTGAGACACCAGCAAATTTAGTTATCTTACATTTGGTCTCTTCAGCTAAGCCATTGATATAAATATGGACTTCGGCTGCTTCAGTATCTGAGGAGATTTGAATGGCACTTCAACAGTTTGTAAATAACAGTGAATGTTCCCAAATCTGACCTATGATGGAGGAAGGAAAGGTCTTTGGTGAAGGTGCTGGAGATGCTGGGACCTGGGACACTACCCTGAGGAACATCTGCGGAGATGTGT